TCTTTCCCTCTTAAGGTATTCCCAACCCCTCTTTCCTCCAGCCCACCAAGTGTGCTCACCAGTGCCCTCGGGTAGGCAGATAATCCCATCGCCCTGCACCCAGCGGTAGCAGGGGAAAAGGGCCTTGTCTTGGGTCCCAGGGCCCTCTACTGTGATCCACTTGCAGAACCAGGCAGAATCCAACAGGCTTTTATGTTTACGCAGCTTCACAAACAGGAGGCGCCCCAGGTGCAGAGGGACCTTGACCTCAAACTCCGTCTCCTGCAGGACCAGACCGAGCTCAGAAGCTGGTGTGCGGTTCTCAGAGAGGGCAGCGGGGTCAGTGGGGCTTCAGAGAAGCTTGGCTCCACTTTCCGCTAGTAGGACAGCAGGAGAGACCTGAACCAGGTGGAGGTGAGAAGGAACAGCCGGCTGTGCGGGGCTCGGGCCTCCCTGCCTGGCACTGTCGTGGGAACCGCCACGTCCAGCGACTCGTCTTCCCTGCTCCTTCTGCCCAAGCAGGGAAATGCCATTCGTCCCTGCTGTTCCCTTGCTTTTCGTTTTCCCATCAAGCACCCTACGTTCACCGACCTCATCCTTGGCCTCTCTTCCGGGACGCTTCTTGTGACTAAGACTTCGGCGCCCGCAGTTCCTCCTTCTCGCCCTGGCTCCCCCGACACCCTCAGAGTCCCGAGCTCCCTAATCTTACTCGGCGTCCGGCCGCGGTGCGCACTGACCTTTCCCCACACCGGCCACAGTTGCTTCCCCAGGTCCGCGTCCCCGTGCTCGCCCACCAGCCACAGCTGCACCCGGTTGCTGGAGCCCGCCAAGAGCGAGTCCCCGGTGGCGACGCGGATCGTGTACTTGCCCATTTTGCCCAGACCTCGAGGAACGCCAGTGGGAAAATCAGCAATAAGAGGAACCGAGACTCAGCCCCTAGGAAACCACTCCCAGAGTCCCTGTTGTGTTTAGGTTCCGGAGTTTCCATCGCCACCCGCAGATTCCTCTCCCACTCAAATGCAGCTGCCTCTGCTGCCTCTGCGCCCAGGATTTCTCCCATGGACCCACTCCAATCACTTGGCCAACACTCTGGTGCCGGTTTCAAGCTCAGCTGTGAACAGAACACACCTGTGTGCAGGCAACCAGCAAAACACAAACTCACCCGCCCACCTTGGGTGAATACTGATCAGGTAAGATAGCCACCCTAGAGTGATGAGTGGAATGGCTTGAAGTTAGGGAGTGTTTTCCGATGAAAAGTGAGTAAATCATCTTGGCAAAGATGAGAGTTTTTTGTTGAAGGCAAGTATGCCATAATGTTGGACAGGTGAGATAAATGGGTCTGTTGTCCAGAATGGTTGCTGAGAGGAGAGCCTGGAATTTCCCTTCTGAAGTCTCTACTGGGCTGACAGGAAACAGGCTCCTTGGGGCCAGCATCCCAGCCTGGGTACCTGTAATGTGTCCCATGGGCAAGCTCTCTTTAGGACGGTTTCGCCCTCACCTCACCTCTCAGTCTCCTGGGAGAAACT